GCAAAATACAAAGCCTCACGTACAGGGAACTTCTAGCAAGATTGATAGCAATTTGATGGTCTGGGCATACCCAAAAGATTATTCTAGCCTTCGTTCAATTTAGAAGTTAATGAGGACTCCTAGCCTTACTATTTGTACCTGGTGCCAATTGGTATTTTTCACCTTGCAAGGAATTACCGTATTTATCGGCGTATAACACGCACAGGCGTATAACACGCATCTTCATTTTAAGAGGGAAATTTCACCCCCACTCCCACCCCACGCGCGCGCTTCAATCCACAGTGTCCCATTCTGCCTGCCTGCCTGCCTTAGTTTCTGGTTGTTTGGGAGCAGCTTCGGCTGAGAATAATAACTATTCGCCTCTTTTACTCAGCCGAAGCTGTTCCGATTCAACCATTAACGAAGGCAGGCAGGCAGGCAGAACGGAGCACTGCGGGCGGGCGGGCGGGCGGACGGGGTGGGGGAGAAAGGCGACAGGAAAAGCCCCCCCCCCGCTTCTTTGAAGCAGTTTCTTCCTGTGCTGGTGGAGGAGCGAGAGAGCGACTGAGAGAGCTGACCCAGAGAGAAGGACAGGCTTCGGTTGCTTCCTCCCTCCCCTTCTTTCATTTGTGTCCTTGATCCCCGATCCCAGCAGCATTCACTGAAGGCTTCTTAACATTATATCGGCGTATAACATGCATACATCATTTGCCCCCTATTTTCAGGGGGGAAAAAGTGCGTGTTATACGCCGATAAATACGGTAAATTGGAGACGTTCACAGCAGGATTAATGGCATAATACATTTAATAAATATAAACAAGCACCTGGTTCCAAATCAAGCTGCTGATGTGCAGGTATCTCTTCCTCTCCAAGTGCTTAGGGGAATCTTCCTTGCTTTATGGAAGTCCAGAAGGATAAAGTCCTGCAAAACTTCAGGGGCAAGAATGTCACAGAAAAGACTCACTATCCAGTATGAAAATTTAAGCGAGGATGTTAGAAATTATGTTTTATTCTATAGAAATGGTAGCAGAGGATTATCATATAGACAGATTGGTAGCAGAGGATCTGTTGTATAGACAGCCCTCACTTACCCTTTGTTCCCTGAGCTTTCAAAGTTACTACATGTTCTGACCCAAACCTGGTTCCAAGAGAGCAAACACAAGACAAAGGCAGCAGCACAACCTTTTAATGTTTCATCTGTGAATTGTTTCTTCACAGATAAAAGGCTGCTTCCAACTAATTAGCTCCGACAAGAAACAGCCTTGCCAAGTTTTAGCAAGGCTGCCAAAAAACAACAGATAAGAAATAGTTTACAACACAAGAGTCTTCAAATACCAGTTGTAATGTCCATGAGGCTGAGTTTCAAAACGTCTTTGCTTCCTACAAAGAACATTCGCTGCACAGCTACCTTTTATCTTCTTGAAGGAGGGGCCATTACCTTGCAGCCTTACTCCTGAGTCACCCGTGCTGTTGTAGCTGCTCTTTCCTGCGAGCAATCCTGCATGCATGCGCACTTGGCACAGGCTCCTCAGGAACCTCCTCATCCCTGCTGCCAGCCCCCACAATCTCTGAAGGCAGCAGTGCACTCATTAATGGTCCTGACCCCTCATCTGAGTCCTCGGTCTCCTCAGCTGTCCACACCTGCTGCCGGCTAACCACAACACTATGGCACTAAGCAGACATATGGTCCGTAGATTTGTGGCCATTGTGGAACTTTTTCAGTGACCCCATTTCAGCACTTCCTGTGGTTCTGAAGGTGCAGGAAAAGGAGTTGCACCAATTTGGGTGCTACTAATCAGTGCCCTTTATGATCCCATTTGTGACCTTCTCAGCTTCTGACAAGGGGATGTTGTCAAGAAGCTTCCAGTCACAGTCACGTGAAAGTGTCTTTAACAACCCACGGTGATTTGCTTAACTGCACTGGAGCAGATGTAAATTGGCACTGTCATGTGACATCATGCTTAGTGATTGGGCTTCTTAGTAACACAGGTGCCAATCCCAAATGTGATCAGTAAGTGAGGACTACTTGAACAGGGATGCCACCACAGGGGTTGTGGGCAGTATTTTTTGCCTTTATTTGCAGCTCAGGACATCAATGGGCAAAACTGTTGGTTCAAATCTTGCTGAAGTTTTAGGCATCATTTCATCATTTAAAAGGCTCCACATCTCAAAAAGTAATGCAGACGATTGGACTGTAACAATTTTGGGACATTTTTCAGGCTAAAATACAAATGGATTTCTACACATATATATTTTTAGGTGTGTGCATTTGTATTTCTTCAGATGCACATATCTGCCCCTGTATAATCTTGTCCCCAACACGTCCAGATATACATTGGATATAGAACATCTTACACGCTCCTTGTAAAACGCCAGGGTTTTGAGATGTAAAACAAATGAGACCAATATAAATCGCCCAGGAAATTTGTCCACCTTTCATATAATGTATGAGCTGTACAATTCAATAGAAATTCAAACAAATCTTTCATGGGGAAGAAATGACAATAAAAACCTTACAATAACGTGGTTCATAAAGATGTGCACCCTTAAAAGCTAATATTTTCTTGAAGGACTTTTTGATTTTAATCACAGCAGGCAGGGCAGGAGTCTTTAGACCAGCTTTCTGCAAACTGGTTTCCTCCAAGTGTTTTGCTCCAGCAGCTTGGGAATAAATAAGGCTGAAAGATAATAAGGCTGGGAATTGCAAAGGACGCTGTAAGCAATTCTGCCTTCTAGCAGGATTTAGACTCCCCAATTATACAGACAGGAAGATCACATCTACCTCCTATCTAAATGGGGCTCAGAGGCAATGCCAGTGGATTCTTCCCGGTTCCCGGCCTTACAGATTAAGAGTTGGAAGGGACCTTGTAGGTCATCTAGTCCAACCCCCTGCCCAAGCAGGAGACCCTACACCAGGGGTGCCCAACCTTGGCAACTTTAAGACTTGTGGACTTCAACTCTCAGAATTCCTCAGCCAGCTGGCTGAGGAATTCTGGGAGCTGAAGTCCACAAGTCTTAAAGTTGCCAAGGTTGGACACCCCTGCCCTACACCATTTCTGACAAATGGCAGTCCAATCTCTTCTTGAAAGTCTCAAGTGATGAAACTTCCACAACTTCTAAGGGCAAGCTCTTCCATTGATGGATTGTTCTCATTGTCAGAAAAATTCTCCTTATTTCCAGTTTGAATCTCTCCTTGTTCAGTTTCCATCCATTGTGCCCATTTAGAGCCACACAGAAACAAAAACATCATGAGGGCGCAGCACTTAAACCTAAGTCGGGTCAAGCCTCAATATTACAGCGACACGCATGCCTGGAATGCAGTGAATATAGTACAGTAGCGTTTTTGCTGGTCTGCTGGAGGGGTAGAGGTAGAGGTAGAGACGGAACGAGTTGAAACGATAGAGGATTGGACTGCTAGAGGGGATGTGGAGGACAGAGGTACTTTCTCTTCGGGCTGACCCGCGGGAGGCTGATGGCGTCGGCGGAGCCTCTTGTGCTGCTTGGTGGGTCGAAGCGGCTCCTGGGAGGTGAGTCGGAGGTCGGAGGAGAAGCCGGGAGCAAGTCGGGCCCTTTGGGTTCCTCCACGGCGGGGAAGCAGGGAAGGGAGAAGGCTGAAATATGTCAACTGCTGTTGAATATGCTTCCCGTCCCCGAATTTTATTATCCTTTTGCTGCACGATTTAAAATTGCTCCCTGTGATTTACTGCTGGGAGATTGGGGACATTTAAAAAGTCTTTATTTCATGTTTCTATCTCCCTCGCCCTTCCTGTAACATTTCATTCCTAGCATGTTGCTTTCCTGGCATGCGAGGAGTTCCGTGGGCAAAATTGGATGCTTTAAATCTTGCATAGGATTTGGACACCATTTCTTGTGTTAGTGTCCTCACCTTTCTAAAATTAGATCAAACGAAAGTGAATCCACTTCTGAAACATTTTGAAGACTGACATAATTTTCTACATAGATAAATTTATAGGTGTGCATTTATCTGTTTGCATGGATAAATGCCTCAGTATTTTCAGGTAATTTTAATAAGAAAAGTTTACAATGATAATCTCTGATTTACCTAACCCAACAAGAGAATTTCATGATTTGAAATTTGAGTGGATATTTGAACTTGGATTTTGCTGCTCTTCTATGTGCCTAATGAATCATAATGAATATTAGAGGTTAAAGTAGCATTTGGATCTCTTTGCTTTTTCATAATAATATATGGATTTCTTTTTTTGCTGTTTTTGCAGGTTCTGCATCCATTATTTAAACAATAGTGAAACTAATGCATTAATATGAATCTTATAGAAAAAGCGGATGCCAAGAAGAGCACTCTGGACAACAGAGAATGAGAATCAGCATTAAAATGCAAAACAACCATCAATCAAAATATTTTCCATTTCTTCCAGAGAGTGTTGAAACTTCTTTTTCCTGAGCAGATGGAGGGAGACAAGGGAGAGAATGATAGGAACAGAATTTTCAGGTGGAAAAATAGATTATGTGGAACTCAAGAAAATATTGCATGAAAATGTAAAAAGATATCATTACCAAATTCAGAAAAATTGTGAAATAGCTGGACATCACTGGGAAGGAAAAGATCTCTTGGATAGCCAAAGGCATTGATGAAAGGAAGGAAAGGGTGTCTTGAATCAAAGCACCACCAAATAAGGGATCAGAAATATTTTTTGCACTCAAAAATGTAAAACCCCCAAAGACAGCCTATTGTGGGAAAAACACAGCTTGCAGATCACAGTTAAATTATTCACAGGAGGATCCATCCTTTGGAAACCTTTACAAATGCTTGGAGTGCAGTAAAAGCTTTACTCAGAATAGGATTCCCATGACTCATGGAACAGCCTAGGCAGGAGGAACAGCTCTACCAATGCTCCCAATGTGGCAAAAGGTTTAGCATGCAAACTAATCTGATAAGACACAACAGGACTCACAGTGGGGAGAAAATCTTTCAATGTCCTGATTGTGTGAAAAGTTTTACTTGGAATTCTGACCTGGTTATACACCAGAGAGAGAAAACATATGAGTGTCCGGATTGTGGGAAAATGTTCAGTGACAATTCCATCCTGCTGATACACAAGAGGACTCACAAAGGAGAGAAACCATATGAATGCCAAGATTGTGGGAAAAGTTTCAGTTGGAATTCTCTCCTGGTAGAACATTACAGAACTCATACAGGAGAGAAACCATATGAGTGTCCTGACTGTGGGAAAGATTTCTCTCGGAAATCTGACCTGGTGAAACACCAAAGGATACACACGGGAGAGAAACCATATGAGTGTTCAGATTGTGGAAAAGGTTTCAAGGGGAATTCTGACCTGGTGATACACCAAAGGATTCACACAGGTGAAAAACCATATGAGTGTCTTCAGTGTGGGAAAAGATTCATTCAAAATTTCCACCTTGTGCGACATCACATGATTCACACAGGAGAGAAACCATATAAGTGTCCAACTTGTGGGAAAAGTTTCAGTCAGAATTCTGACCTGGTGATACACCAGAGGACTCACACACAGGAGAAACCATATGAGTGTTCAAATTGTGGGAAAGGTTTCAGTAGCAATTCTGACATGGTGAAACATCAGAGGACTCACACAGGAGCAAAACCATATAAATGTCATTGTGGGAAAAGTTTCAGTCAGAATTCCTACCTGGTGAAACACCAGAGGACTCACACAGGAGAGAAACCATATAAATGTCATGATTGTGGAAAAAGTTTCAGTCAGAATTCCTTCCTGGTGAAACACCAGAGGACTCACACAGAAAAGAAAGTGTACGAGTGTCCAGAATGTGGGGAAAGTTTCAGTTGCAAGTCTCAACTAGTGAAGCACCAGAAGACTCACAGAGGAGATAGACTGTATGAGTGTCCAGATTGTGGAAAAAGTTTCACTCAAAATTCCAAGCTGTTGAGACACCAGAGAACTCACACAGGAGAAAAACCATATGAGTGTTTGTATTGTGGGAAAAGTTTCAATCAGAATTCCAACCTGGTGATACATCAGAAAACTCACACAGGAGAAAAACCATATCAGTGTCCTGATTGTGGGAAAAGTTTCAGTCAGAATTCCTACCTGATGATACACCAGACAACTCACACAGGAGAAAAACCATACCAGTGTCCCGATTGTGGGACAAAATTCTGTCATAATTCCTACTTGGTGAAACACCAGAGGACTCATGCAGAAGAGAAACCATATGAGTGTCTTGAATGTGGGAAAAGTTTTACTTGGAATTCCCATTTGGTGATACACCAAAGGACTCACACCGGAGAGAAACCGTATGAATGTCCGGATTGTGGGAAAGATTTCAGTAGTAAGTCTAACCTTATAAATCATGTAAGGTTACACATAGGGGAGTAACCATTCAAATAGCTAGATTGCAAACAGTGTTTCTCACAAAGTTCCTCCCTTATTACACAAGAAATTCCACACGAAACATCATTTGATGTGTGTAGAAGAATCTTGAATTTGTGTGTTGTCTGTCATTTGAAGCCCAGCTGAATGATTAAACATTACTTGCATGATTCTCTTTAGGAAACATGAGGGAAGAATCGAATAGAATAAGAAAGTTGGAAGAGACTTTGTCATCTAGTCCAAAATCGCTCAAAATCGCTGCAGGGTTAGCGGCATATAAAGTTAACAAATATAAGCAAACACCTGGTTGCAAATCAGAATTTCTGATGAGTAGGCATGTCTTCTTATCCCAGTACTTAAGGAAACAGCTAGATCTTCCTTTTGCTTTATGGAAGACTAGGAGGATAAAGGCCTGTCAAATTTCAGAGGGAAGATTGTCTCATAGGGCAGGATCTGCAATGGAAAACCAGGAGCAAGTAGAGCTGCCTGGTTTCTTCCACAGTTTAAAAGTAGAGAAGGAATTAGGCTGCTCTACATTCCTTCACACCCCAGATTTTATTCCACCTGTGTTAGCTTTAAAACTGGCATCCACAATTTTCTACTGGTTGTAAAAAGTCTCCTTCAATTTATGATTGATTCCATGAGATTTTTATGGACATGTTGTTTTCTTAGCAACAGTATGGGACAGATCTGTCACTGGTCTCTTGGGATTTTACTTTCTTTCATTCCCATGTTTACCTAACAAGGATGGTATTATTTCTATTTATAATAAAGGCAGGATAGAAATATCTATGCATGTGTGTATTTTTTTAATGAAGAAAATGTATATGGCAGCCCAACACAAGGCGACTCCAGGCAGTTACAGCAATAAAACCCTAATACAGAATATGCAAATGGCAAAATGCAGAGCCATATACAGAAACCAATAAACCCTATGCATGCAATCCATCGAAACCGGGTAGGAGGGCACCTTGCAGGTCTTCTAGTCCAGCCTCCTTCTCAGGCAGGAGACCCTATAGCCGCGATGGCAAACATGCGTGCCACAAGTGGCACGCAGAGCCACTTCTGCCAGTATGCGAGAGGTGCGCATGGACTGGGAGAGACGCGCATGGGGGATGTGCGTGCCATGCGCAAAGGCATGCGGCGTGTGGGAAGTCGCGCAGGGGGCAGGGGGAGTCCTGTGCATTGCATCATGGGTGCAGGCACGGGAGTGAGCGCATACACACACACTTTCAGCACGCACCATGGAAAAGGTTAGCAAATCCCTGCCCTATATCATTTCAGACTAGTGGCTTCCCAGGCTCTTAAAATTCTCCAGTGATGAAGCACCCACAATGTCTAAACTTAAAAGGCAAAGCTGTTCTATTGGTTAATTGTCCTCACTGTTAGGAAGTTTTTTTCTTAATTCCAGGTTGTTTCCTTGATTAGTTTCCATCCATCGTTTCTTGTCCTGCCCCTCTGGTGCTTTGGAAAATAAGTTGACCCCCTCCTCTCAAATACTGGATTACTGCTATTTTGTCCACCCTAGTCTTTCTTTTCTCGAGACTAGCCAAACCCAAATCCTGCAGCCGTTCTTCATATGTTTTAGTCTTCAGGCCTTTAATCATCTTACTTGCTCTTCTTTGTACTTTTTCCCCAAAGTCTCAACATTTTTTTTTTATTGTGACCCAAACCGGATGCAGTCTTACCAAGGCTTTATAAAGTGGTACTAATACTTCACATGATTTTGATTCTGTGCCTCTTGTTTATGCAACCAAGGATTGTATTAGCTATTTTGGCTGCTGACGCATACTGCAAAATGCAAAGCCACCACATTTAACACTTGCTCTGCAAGTACAGGGCACTTCTAGGAAATGATCACTAAGTGAAGTGTCATAAGTCAAGGACTACCTGTACATAATGTCATAAATATGGATGGCCCTCGCGAGCAGTTTCACGTAGGTGTTGAAAAGAAGCAGCGAATGCTTGAGTCCTAGGCAGGGGTGGGATTCAAATTGTTCAACAACTGGTTCTGTGGACGTGGCTTGGTGGGCGTGGCTTGGTCATGTGACTGGGTGGACATGGCTTGGTGGTCATGTTATTGACTGGGTGTGGCCAACTCAATATCACTCACATCGAGGCACGCATCTCCTCGCCTGGCATCCCATGACTGGGGATGCTGCAACAGTCGTAAGTGTGAAAAATGGTCATAAGCCACGTTTTTCAGTGCCATTGTAACTTTGAATGGTCACTCCACACAAGCGAAGCACCAGCAAAGGAGGGGGAAAAAACTCCAGAGAAGTTCCTGAGGCAGGAAGTCTAGTCCTGCCAAGAACGTAATAAGGGTTAACAGAGAGCAGTTTCTGTAAGCAACACCAGAATGTTTCCTTCCTGCCTTCCTTACAGGATTAGGCCAGTAATTTCTTCTAACAACCGGTTCTCCGAACTGCTTAGAATGTTAACAACTGGTTCTAGGGAATAGGTGCGAACTGGTAGAATCCCACCCCTGGTCCCAGGGTAGCCCACATTGTGGGAGGCTTAGGATGCAGCTGGTCTTCTGCTATCCACACTGACTTGAACTGGCCATGGAGGTAGAAGTAGAACCACCATAATAAAGAAGGATATGGTCAATGGTATTGAAACCCGATGAGAGGTCTAGGAGGGACAAAATGGTTGTACCCCATCTATCCCAAACCCTCCAAAAGTCTTGAGAATTGCAACCAATGCCGTTTTGGTGATGTGCCCCGGCCTTAAGCCAGATTGAGAAGGGCCCAGGGGCCTTTCTCCTTCACAGCCCTTTCTCTGGGTGGCAAAGTCAGAGCTGGGTGAGTTGAAGTCCCAAGCTGCCAGCCTTTCATTGCCCTCTTCAGCTGCACTTATAAAAGATCTTAATTTGCAGCAATGCCTTAAACTCCTCCGCCAGGGAAACCTCCTGATTTTCTTATGCATGAGTAACTGCTGTTGGAGGTATAATAGCTGGCCAGGATGCCAATTGCCCAGTAGGGGGAAATGACTCTTTCAGGCCTCTCTTCAGCTTGGAAAATATGGGTAGTTCTCAGGTTGCAACAACAATTTGCACCATAATTAGTGATGGGAATCCTGGCCGTTCCAGTTGCCATTACAACTCCAAGAGCATGTGGATCATTAGGTGAGAACCTCATTTGTTTGTGATATGTAAAGAGATAGAAGTCCTAGGGAAGCAGAGCAGCTGGTGAGAGCTATGGGCAGGTCAGTGACCTGGCTGGCTCCTTTTTAGGGCTGGGAGAGGAAGTACACCCAAATGCTTCTCATATAAGATCTATCTCAAGTTTCTTGTTTTCTATTTGGTCTATGTCTACTCTACACTTTCAAAAGGCTTGTATCACTTTATCTCCTTTTTCTATTCCTAACCTCTACATTTCTCTAACCCTAATCTCCATATGTGTTACCTAGTGTTAAACCCACGCTCTCTCTCCCTCAGTCTCTTTCCCCATCCTTTTTTTTTTTTGCAGAAATGTGAGCAATGTGGAAGGGAAATGTTGGTCTGGATTTCTCTGAGGAATGGACTTCAGGCCAGATCTGTTTTTGAGAAGGGTTTTCTTCTGGCTGAGGGGACTCAATTTCCAAAGAGGAATGTATATGACTTAAGAAGGAGGGAACACATAAATGACCTGTTCCCCCCCCCCAATTTCTTGTTTATTGCTGATTTTCTATGGTTTTTGTGTGTTTTGATTATTAAATTTTTACCTTAAAAAATGAGACGCAGAAACACTTACCATATGTGTGCACATGCATGCTATCGTTCTTTTTAAAACACTTTCGAACATTTCTTTGAAAAGTATATTAGTGTTGTTTACCAAAAATGGGCAGCCCCTTTGTTGCAGCAGATCCTGTTTCCAAATCAGGACACAAGACCACGAAAGGTTGGAGAATACAGGTTTTTATTTGTGCACAAAGGTTCAGAGCATTAGCATGGCAAATTCTGAACCCCTGGCTCTTCCTGAGGCGTCACTTTTATACATTTCATAACCTCAGCCTAGCCCGGGGCCTTTCTTATGTTAAACTATACCAAAAAGGAGAAGTACATTTCTGTGATTTTCCAGACCCATCCTTATTCACTGAAACGTGCTTACTTCCAGTTCCTTAGTTCAGCAATTTCGTGGTTTTGCACAATATTTCTATAAGAAGCAAGGTAAGGGGTCAGAGGATTTCTGGTAAATGCATATTTTGTTCTCTTTTTCTGTGTATGTGTCTCATTTACTTTGACTTAATGGAGATTTCCATGCTAAGGAAATTACAGAAGCACATTTAGCAGACTTAAAATCTTAGGCACAGCCCAGGCTGGGACTGAAGATAGTTCCCTTGAAGCCTCTGGGCAGCTGGTGCTTCCATGTCCGAAATCCTTGGGAACCACAGGAAAGCAGTAATAAAGTTTGGGGATTTAGAGTGATTTTGACAGTGACTGACAGCCGACTAATAAAGCACAGGACACTTTAGATCAATTTTCTACAAACTAGCTCTCTCAAAATCTTTTGCCCAAACTACCTGGGGTACATTCCATGCTGGAATCTGAACACCTCTGGAAATTGGGAAGGCAGCTCAAAGAAATTCTGCCCTCTAATTCAGCCCTTGCAAGAATGCAGATGGAAAAATAATATCCCCTATCTAAATATGTTTAGAAGCAATATTGAATGGGTTTTGTGCCTTATTTCATTCCAGGTAGTCATAGACTTACAATAACAATTGAGCTCAAAATGTCTCTTGTTAGTGTCAAACATATATTGACTTTGCCCCATTTGACAACATTTCTTGTCACAGTTAAGTGAATCACTGCAGTTGTTAAATTAATCATACTGCTGTTAAGTGAATCTGGCTTCCCCATTGATTTTTGCTTTTCAGAAGATCATGATCCCAGGACACTGCAACTGTCATAAATATGAGTTACTTGCCAAGCGACTGAATTTTGATCATATGACCACGGGGATGCTGCAAGAGTTGTAAGTGTGAAAACTGGTTATAAGTTGCTTTTTTCAGTGCTGTTGTAATAGTCACTAAAAGAACTTTTGTAAGTCAAGGACTACTTGTATTCTATTAAAGGGTATGAAGCTGGCAATCCTTTAAGGCTGCACATACAAACAAGATCTTTATCAACTTTTAGGATGCAGCACCTGCTGATCTTGTGAAGGTAAGTAGGGTCAGGCTTCACTCTTCCAGCTTCCCTCAAGTCGTAAAGATAGTTTTGGGGAGTTATCCTGCACCCCAAGACAAAGAACTGGCTGGAAGACTCTCCACGGATCCCCAAAGAAGGTGCCCTTTCTTGTTGCCGGATGGCACATTGTGTTCATACTGCACGAGTCGAAAAGAGGGCTGTGAAAATATTTACAGACCCCTCACATCCCAGATATAAACTGTTTCAACTCCTACCCTCAAAACGACGCTATAGAGCACTGCACACCAGAACAACCAGACACAAGGACAGTTTTTCCCCAAATGTCATCACTATGCTAAACAAATAATTCCCGCAACACTGTCCAACTATTTACAAAGTCTGCATTACTATTACTATTAATATTCTCATCACTCCTGATCACCCATCCCTCCCACTTGTATGACTAATTTTGTCGCTTATATCCTAACGATTTTTACTGACTGTTTCCTAGTATGATTTGATTGCTTATTGTACCCTATGACTGTTATTAAGTGTTGTGCCTTATGATTCTTGATTCTTGACGAATGTATCTTTTCTTTTATGTACACTGAGAGCATTTGCACCAAGACAAATTCCTTGTGTATCCAATCACACTTGGCCAATAAAAGAATTCTATTCATATTCTATTCTGTTCTGTTCGATTCGATTCAATTCCCCCCATGGATGCTGCCTCTTGGTTTAGTTCCTGCAAAATAAGCTCCTGGTCCTGGCTCAGTTGCAGGGACGATGTAGAGGTCCCTGGGAGATGCCAAAGGACAGACTAAGGCTAGATGGTCCAATAGAAAAGTTATGGATGTGGTCGCTATGAGCGGGAAACGGCTCTTAATTTAAAAAAAAAAAATCTTAGAAACGCCAGATAAGAGACAAGGAGCGCATTTTCAGCCTCACGTCACTAGGGGGAGCTCTAAACACGGCTCTCCAGTTGCCGAGAAAACGGTCCATCTGGACGCGGCTTCGGTGATGGCTGAGATCGGAGATCAAAAGGGAGGGAGAGCAGCGGAGTTGAAAGGCATTGAAAATCATCGAGTATTGCTAGAAAGGATGTCGAGGAGAGGAGAAGGGCAGAGGGACTTCCTCTTCCGGCTCAGCCGTGGGAGGGATGGAAGGCGGCGGTCGTGCTCTTCCCCCAGGGCGGAAGCAGCAGCTGGAAGGTGAGTTTTAGGGCA